AAGAATGGTAGTATGTGCAATCATATAGGGCACATGCCATTTGTTAAGCACTTGCAAATGTGCAAGGGAGAGGATGCCCACATTAGGAATTTTTATTATTATTATTATTATTATTATTATTATTAACAACAACAATACCCCACATATCTGGCTGGGTTGCCCCAACCAAAGAATGTCTTTGGTGGCTTCTCTGTGGTTAACAACACAGTGGGCTGCAGTCCATAATCTGTCCCATCTAACACAAACTTAATAGACAAATAATGCCCTTATGAGCACCCTAGTAATTGTGTGTGAAAATTCTTGCATGCACTACTTACCTGGAAAAACATTCCTAATGTACCAGCCCAGAATGAAATAAATAAAAGAATCTATCAGAATTAACCAGCACATCCAGACAAAATTAGTCTCATCTCCAGACATAGGTGATTTATAAATATTATCCCACTGCAGGCCTACAAAAGAGAAAAGGTAAGATAAAGACAAATTCTACATTAGCCAATGAAACAGACTGCACCAGGGCTACCCAGAGAAGTGTCCACATAAGAAGAACCCTTACCAACGCCCTGCTCTTCATAGCGGGCAACGTACTGGCTTGCATAGCTGAACGCGGTTGGAGACAGCAGGCTCTGGAAAAAGCAGGGGAGAAACAAACACACAAAAACCCTACTGAAATATTTGCATACAAATATCCAGGTAAATATATGAAGACGATGCAGATTTCAGATAAATATAAAATGTAAGTATAGTTGTAAAATTATACCCCATGATTCAGATGAAAATGAAAGTATTTTTTTAAAACTAAAGAAGGGAGAGAGTGGGGAGATGAGAAAGAAGGCATTCCTGAGAGAATGAGCACAAAGAAGCCTTGGGAATCATTCTTATTATCCCTGTAGACTCTTCTTCCTACAAGGAGAGTAAGGCAACATCCATGCAGTTCACCCTATAAACTGGCACACACACACACACACAGAGAGAGAGAGAGAGAGAGAGAGAGAGAGAGAGAGTTCTAGGGACCACTGACTGAGCATCATGACACGAGTGTGCTTTTTTGAATCCAGCATTGCACATCCAAACCAAATATTCTTGACATTTTGCCAATTCTCATCTATTTTACCCTGTATTGCATAAGAGGAAACATAGAAGTGTTAACTAGGGCCGACCCAAGACATTTTGGCACCTGAGGCAGACCCCAAAATGGCGCCCCCCCTTCCCACCAGGGAAGTAGAGATGAAGGAAGATCTATGTCAGGGATAAGAAGGAAGGAAGATCAGCATTGGAATCTGCTGGCCCTGTGAACCCTGCTGCCTGAAGCAATTGGGCCTAATATTACACCACTGCTATTGTGTGGTTGAGAGACATGTGTATTTAAGTTGACCCCCCCCCCACAAATTCTTTGGTAAATGACCCTTCCCCTAGCCGTCAGACGTCTTGAACTACAATTCCCACCAGCCCCACCTAGCACTGCCCTGCTGGAGCGGATGGGAGTTGTAGTCCAAAACTTCTGTGGGCTCCAGGTTGACTAAGGCTGCCCCAGCACCTTCACGCATCTTAACACAGCTGAGAGGTTTACCAGCAGGCTCTTCACGGAAAAGCTCACGTGATTCTCAACGACAAGCAGGACGATGAATGGGAAAAAGGTCAGGATGTAGATGAGACAGCCCACCAAGGCAGCAATGTTGGTGTTGTTGAAGAAGACGCTGATGAGGTAGCACATGGCGATGATGGAGAAGCTGTAGTCCAGGAGGTACAGGAACAGTATCACAACGTTTATATGGGAAAGGACGTTCCCAACTTTGAGCATAACAACGAGAAACGTGGTAGTAATTAGGAGAAAGGTGGCACACTCAATGAACCAGGCGATGAAGTGACTGCTGGAATTGACACCCATCATCTTCATATACTATGGAGGGAGAAATAATAAAAGGATAGCCACTTAATTGAATTCAAACATGTATATTAGTTATTACTATTATTTATTATGAAAACAAATTTAGAAACCAGTTTCAAAGAGGTGCACAGGGTAAAAACAGACTAAAACGCAGAAACACAAGCTCAAAGAAAAATAAAATCAATTTAGCCAACTCAATTTAGCCAACTCAATTTAGCCAACAATTTTTAAAGCAATTTAAATTTAAAGCAATTTTTAAAGCAATAAAACCATTTAGACAAACACCAAAGTATTAAGTGCTGTCGTCTTCTAAAACAGGTAAAGGACCCCCGACAGTTAAGACCAGTCATGAACGACTCTGGGGTTGCAGTACTCATCTCACTTTATTGGCCGAGGGGAAATGCCGTTTATCTTCCTGCTGGAGCGGTACCTATTTATCTACTTGCACTTTGACATGCTTTCAAACTGCTAGGTTGGCAGGAGCTGGGACTGAGCAATGGGAGCTCACCCAGGTAAAAAAGGTAAAGGACCCCTGGACAGTTAAGTCCAGTCAAAGGCAACTATGGGGTTGTAGCGCTCATCTTGCTTTCAGGCTGAGAGAGCCGGTGTTTGTCCACAGACAGTTTTCCAGGTCATGTGGCCAGCATGACTAAACCACTACTGGTGCATGGAGGACCGTGATGAGTGCCACAGCACATGGAAACGCCATTTACCTTCCTGTCACAGTGGTACCTATTTATCTTCTTGCACCAGTGTGCTTTCAAACTGCTAGGTTGGCAGGAGCTGGGACTGAGAAATGGGAGCTCACCTCATCGCGGGGATTTGAACCGCCGACCTTCCGATCGGCAAGCCCAAGAGGCTCAGTGGTTTAGACCACAGCGCCACCCGGATATTCTAATTATGTACTGTAGGCATAGTAAGATGGCCATTGTCTCTTCTTTTAAAATAGAAGGGGTGACTGCTGGTCTGTAGCATTAATTTCAGTTTTACAGTCTCTGAGAGGGACATGTCAGTCCTTACCAGGAATGCCCAAATTGTGCCCCACTAAGCTGAATGTGCACACCCCAATGAATTGTGAGAAATCAGATGCTTGAGGCCACTGTTACCTCTCCAGTTCGTATTTCTGCAAACTCTGACTAACAGCAAAGTAGGTTTTGGTTTTGTGTGTGTGTGTGTGTGTGTTTAAAATTGGGTATTGTAGAGGTTGCCTTACAAGGCCAGTGGGCTATGTGTGCATTGATAGGTTTACAAGTGGCAATGGCCCAACCTATCAAGTGTGCTCCCAGTAGGGACTATTGACTGGTGCCAGGTCAGCAATAGCTCTGCCAGCTTCTTCCAACAAGTATTGTTTCCTGCACCAAAATCTTTAACGTATTATGATCAAAAAGTTGGAATCTCTAACTGGCTAAGCTATGAAAAAAAATGAAATAAATAAACTAACACCATGGTGGAGTTCAAACGGAGTGGCACTTACCTCCCAAATATATAAGTTTCTCAAAAATACCCGCTATTCTAGTATTTTAAATTGCCAATGTGCTGAACAAATCATGCACCCCACCCTAAAATTCACTCCATTTAACATTTCCAGGCTGTTTCTTTGGAGTGAACATTTATAACTCAAGGATTAGGAGGCAGACTTCCTTGTACGACATCCTTGAATGCTACTGGTGCATGTGTGAAATATTTTGCTCCATTTGCCCCAAATATTTTGCCTGGTTATTTTTTTAACTCAGCATAAACAAGAATGTGTGAACCACTTCTTATGTTACATTGTTGAGCCGCTTTAACACAGCTTCTTCCCTGGCAGAAACGTAATACCAGAGGTGTGAGAAGATCACACTGCAACTCCTCCTCATGCCTGCATTACCACATTTTGCAAGAGAGAGTTATTCTGGCATGGCCAAGACTCTCTGAAGCTAACCTCCAACACTCTGCCCTTTCCCTACAAATACTTTGAGGATTAGATACACAGATATAACTCTACAAAAGTTAAGACTCTCCACACTTGCTGCTCATCTAATATTACACAAATGACATCCGAGCTGTTTCACAGTGGAACAATCTCCCTCAGAAGGTGGTGCCCTCTGCCTCATGTGAGGTTTTTAAGCAGAGGTTGGATGGCCATCTGTCAGGGATGCTTTAGCTGAGATTCCTGCATTGCAGGGGGTTGGACTAGATGACCCGAGATGATTCTGTGAAATAGTAGTATCTCTGTGGGGATCTGTTTCCTCAAAAACAATAATTTTCTTTGTTTAACCTGTGGAATCGATTGAATCGCTAATGAAAGTGCTAAAAGTCCCACTGAGTGTTAGGACAGCACACAGGAACATTTTTAGCAGAAATAGCCTCATATTTTAAATAAGTGTACACTAAATTGAGAGTAGTTGGGCTAAGGCAATAATTGATTCTGTGGAAGTGGATGCTGTACTTCACTGACTACCAAGATAAAGAATTACAAAGCCCTTTTGCTCCTCTGGTGGAAGTTTAGTTTGAAAACTAAATCAAGTTAAGAAGGGGAAAGATTTTCACATTGATCGCTATGATGTCTCACAGGAAATCTAATCTTGCACATGCCTCACTTGAGATAATAACACATAAAACACCATGGTATGTAAGAGGTCAGGAAAGTAGAATCATGTCAGAAGAACCAATTATGAAAGAAATAATTTCTTAACAACTCGCTGATGTATCTAAATAAAATAGCGAACAGCTTCCAATCACTGATCTTACTAATGACTTTTCTTCTATAATCTATGGCTTTCTTTTAGAGGCCCATAATCCAAAGAACCCCTTTGCTGTGTGCAAAAGTTTTTAAGAGCTCAGGAAGCTGCCTTACGAAAGGTCAGACCGTTTGCACATCAAGTTAAGCATGGTTGACACTGATTGGTAGTGGGTCTCCAGAGTTTCAGACAGGAGTCTTTCCCAGTCAGGCCTGGAAATGCCAGGGATCAGAGTGGCTCAGAGTGTGACCTGTGTGGCTGTACTGGGCGCAAAACGTCTGGGGTGCCAAAGCAGGCTCTGCCACCAGTACTCCACTGCCCGGCGAGAGGTGTGGGGAGAGGTGTGCCAGACTTTGGCGGTGCACAGGGTGCCACTGAAATCTGAGGTGCCAAGGTCCGTCACTGCAGGGATCGATCCTGAGACCTTCAGCATGCAAAGCAGGTGCTCTTCCATTGAGCAGCAGACCCTACCCAACTACATCCCACAGTTTTCCTCTTGATGTTTGTTCCCAATGGAACTTTTCCAGACAAATATTCCCTGTTGGAGTGCCAGGAAAGTGAGAACTATACTCCTGCACATATTTTGTCACACTGCACACTGATGAAATGGGGGGGGGGTTAATAATATGCATGATGCATAACTTGCACGCAGGACACATGGTCTTGACAGGGAAAGCTTCAAGTGCAGGTAACCTTAAGAATGGACTGCTGAAACGTGCACTATATGTGGAGCTGCCCTGGAAGCTGTTTTGGAAGCTGCAGTTAGTGCTGAATGAGGCAGCTGAGCTCTTATTGGGGACTGCCTATTGCCAACAATTTACACCAATTTTGATAGAACTACACTGGGTGTCTATATGCTACCAAGCCCATTTCAGGGTGCTTGCATTGACTTATAAAGCCCTACATAACTTAGAGAGAGTGCCTCTTCCCACATAGATCTGCCTGGCTGTTGAGATCTACCAAGGTGGTTGTCATTGTGGGCCCCAGCTTTGGAGCACCTCCCCTCTGTGCTACAGCTCCTGCTCACCCTTCTGATGTTGTCTATTTGCCCAGGCCTTTGCTGGATACCAGTGCCTGGATTCCTGACATTTATTATTTTTCAAGTTGTCATTTATCTGTTTTAATTGTATCCTACCCTAGAATAGCGTTGTGGTGAAAGAAGGGTAAGAAATATTTCAAAGAACAAATAATGTTAAATATGCATAATTAGGAGTAGGAACAGAAGGATCTGCTTCTGCTTTCTTGGTTTCTCATTTTTCCAATCTTAAATTGAGTTCTCCACATTTTGCATCAATTTATAAATGAAATTGTAAAAATCTTCCTGAAATTCCATCAACATTTGAATGCAAACTCATTTTATATGCATTTTTGACTAATGTACACAGTTTTGCAAGCAATGTCCCCCAATGCAAGGAGTTTTCACTAATATATTCATTTTTATGTATACTTTTCCTGAATATATGCATATTTTCAAACATCAGTTGGAGACCTGCACCGCACAATGTAGATGTGCTTCAGTTCACATACTGTTTCAGAAAGTGCAAATTCAATAGCTTCAGCTTTCACTGGAAAAAGGAACTGAATTTCTCCTGCATCCCTATATAGGAGTGATAAACAACATAGGAGCACCACAAAGAAAACTGGAATGTCTTCAAGATCAACTGCTAGGCCCCTCTACATTCTTGGAGAACTAACTCTGTTAGCTTTTAAAGGTGCAAGTCTTGTTGGAGGTCTATCTCTCATTCTGAAAAATGAACTCTGAGACCTGCCTTCTCAGGTCTTACCCAGGAGCAATTTCCACTGAATTTGCTTGTATGAATTGTTTTGGAGAGGAGCTCAGGGCACGGCTTTCACAAGTGGTTTCTCTGTCAGTCTCTGTGAATAAGTTAACAGGGAACCCTATAGACTGGATTCCTTCAGCCCAGGTACTCAGACTCTGTCAGATACAGCTGCAGGGTGTGGTGAATACTCAAAACTTCAGACTACCTCGTAAAGCCTCAGGTCTTTTTCTTCAACGAGTTTCTTCACAAAGGCTGCAATGTAAAGTATCCAAGCAGCCATCAACATGAATGGAAGGGAGTAAGTCACACTGGTTAGGAACCTGTAAAAAGAAAAGCAATTATTTAGCTGCAAAGGCAAAGTACCGTATTTTTCGCTCTATAGGACGCACTTTTTCCCCTTCAAAAATGAAGGGGAAATGTGTGTGCGTTCTATGGAGCGAAGATGCCATAGCCCCGCGACCCTCTCCCGGCTGGAGAGGTGACGCGCGGCTATGGCAGGAGCCTCTCCGCTGCGCCTTTCCGCTGCTCCCTGACCTGCTCTTTGGGGCTGGTGGTGGGCTTCCCCCCGCCAGCCCCAAAGAGCAGGTCGAAAGAACCTGAAGCCTGGAGAGCGAGAGGGTCAGTGCACACCGACCCCTCTCGCTCTCCAGGCTTCCAAGGTAGCCGCCTGAACGCACCTTAAACGGCACCTTGTTTTAGAGCGGGAAAACAAGAGGGGGAAAGTTCTCCCCCTCTCTGTGCAGCGCCTACTGCTGCTTCACTGAAGGGGCGCTGGGCAGAGAGGGGGGAAAATTTTTTTTTCTTGTTCTCCCCCCTCTAAAACAAAGTGCGTCCTATTGTCCGGTGCGTCCTATGGTGCGAAAAATACGGTATGTTGGATTAGGGAGGGATAACTAGCATGACTTTCAACATAAAAGCCTTTGTTTTTTCTCTGAAACTTGGACTATAGTTAAAAAACATTTGGCTCATTCTAGGAACTGGTAACTACATTCAATGAAAAAAATTTTGCTCTTACAAAAACCTACAGCTACTGGTTTCTGGCTCTCAGAGTCCCTACATTGAGCCATGTTTTGTGCCCCACCCTTCCTTGACTGATACTTAATATTCCTCTGTATAAACCTATGTAGGGATAAAGATATAAGGGCTCTTATACCTTTGCAAAACTCTATGAAGTTAGAGACTGGAAGTAGTTTCAATTTTCCGCCTCAAAGCAAAGCATACTATGTTTTGCCATGTTTTGCAGAAATATCACTTGATGTTGTGATCTTCTCAGGAGATGAATATGAAAGTAGCAATAACATCTATGCCAGACAAGTCCTGTCCTAGTCATATTCACTCAGACTTATATCCTACTGTATTCAACATGGCTTATTCCCTGGCAATTTCCTGTGTATACAGGACTGCAAACTTACGTAGATTTACTTCTGAGTAAACATGCAGAGGTTTAATTTGTAAACTGAATCATATTTACGTGGAACTAAGTCCCACTGAAAATGATTATTTTTGCAATCATTTATTCATAGAGCATACATAGTATGAATTTGGTATGGATCCACTTGTATTCTGAGTTTACTTACACAAAACACTTGGGTCAAAGACAATTTACCATTAGCAATGCCTAAAACAGTGATAGTGAGAAATCAAAGCTTACCATGGCTATCATTAAATAATTTAAGAAGGGGAGATTCCTATCTGAGAAGTAAAAATTACTTAATTCTTAAAGTTAAGGCAACCAGACGTTGCAGGATTCCACTACAATGGGTGGGTGGGTGTGGGTAGGGAGGGAGGTGGGTAGAGGTTGGCATAAAAGAAAAGGAACATAGTTTTTCAGGGTTTCACATATTGTTAAGGCAACCTATGAAGGCATAAATGAAGATTGGGTACATTCAGATGTAACACTCTCCATGAGTTGGATCAAAGCACAGACAGACATTATATCCAAACTTTCAAACTGTGATTTGAATGAGCCATCCAAATCAGGATTGCTGTTTGGTTTGGAGGTCTTGCTTGATCCCTTTGCCAGTTGTCACATTATGGTGATTTTATCTGACCAGGAAGTATTTTAGCAAAGAAGCCTGATACAACTGGTGAGGTTGTGAGTGACCGTATTTCTGTCCCATTATAATGTTTATTTATTTATAAAAATATTTATATAACACTATATCATAATACCATATCTAAATACCATTAAAAAACCCTCATAAACCATTAAACCATTAAAAAACCCTCAGTGACTGAGCTAGGAGATAACAGTTCAGGCAGTCCCTCGGGTACCCTGGACCTAAGTTGTTGAGGGCTTTGTAAATTGGTGCAAGGTCCTTGAAGGTGGCCCAGTAGTGGGTGGGGAGCCTGTGCAGATGTTTTAACAGTGGTGTCACATGTTGGTAGCTTTGTGCCCCCATTCAGGAGCCCCATTCTGCACCAGGTAGAGCTTCCAGACTAGGCCCAAGGGCAGCCCCACAGAGAGCATACTGCTGTAAACGCTCTACCATTTATTAAACACTCTACTTGTCGTGGTTTAGTCAGAAGACTTACATGTCTTTGTTGTAGCAGGGGTAGGGGGTAGCCTGAACTTGTACTGCGATTTCTTCTGCGGTTTTCCCGGTCTGCAATTCAATGATTGCTCTGTCAATGCTATCCTGGATGTAGATAAATGCTCGGCTGTAGATCTGACTTTGCGAGGCTGAGTTATGTGGACCCACCGTCCAGATTTTCTCTCGTATTCTTCTGGTTGTTTGGGAAATCTTGCTGCTCATTCGGATGGTGTAGTTGACTAGCGGTGGAAGGGAAAGGCTGACAGGAATTTCTGTCTCCTCCCTCTTTCTGTCTGAGAATGGCTTGAAAATGATACCTTTTAAAAGAGAAAGAGAGAGAAGTGCATTTCACTGCAGCAGGGCTAAGGGGGTTCGTGTCAGTAGGTTCCTTACTGGGGCCATCAGCAAGTTGACCCTTGACACTAGCCTTGAACTCTGGGATGCAAACTCAGAGGCCTCTAGACAGGGATCAGCCGTTGTGTCTGTTGTTGGTCCTCCCCACCAAAATGTCCTCCTCAAATTACACGTCTACTTGCCTCTGAAGCAAACACACATTTACTTTTCTCTCCCCACCCCTGCAACCATGCTTCAGACAAACTGGTCACCTTTTATTTTGTTTTTCAGATATCTTGCAAGTTCCTTAATTAAACATTTGTTCAGTAACCACTAAAGAAGAAAACCCAGTAATCTGGAATCGAACTCATGCATTGCTTCATTTTAATAGGGAAACATCCACAACATTTCCCAAGGTCCCTTTATCACATGCATCACCATACAGACATTCTGGAAATAAGTAAACTAATCTGTCAGCCATTAAAACCAAACCAATCCTGTTAAATATGTTTCTCAGTTCCTTATCACCTTGTTTCTATATGTGCTACAAGACAAAAGAAAGAGCTCCAACTGAAGAGAGAGAAAATGTTTTGTCATATAGAAAATTGATAATGGAATTTGGAGATTACATTTAATGAAAGAATTGATGCAACAGATTTGTGTAGTCATAAGTAATTCTTGTAGCTCGATAGTTTCATTTCATTTCTTATGGTAATACGATCCCTCAATACTCAACACAACATTATTCAACACAACATAAATTGTTCTGGCATGATCTTATCAGTATGTAATACTGATATTCTATCTCTTTTTATCTGG